GCTCAAAAAGCAGCAGTGTACCTAACACCAACAACCCTCGAACTAGACGGGAAATGTCCCGTCCTAAACCCTAACCAAAGCTCCGCGGACCTAGACGTTGTGACGAAAAGGATCTTATTCGGGAAATGCCATAATTCCGGACAGGTACTTAGTGTTGTTGTAATCATGCATTCAATTGTCACTAACGCGAACGCCCTAACCAGACATGCGTATCCCCAGACTACCTCGTCGTACCCACCCAAAACGACCCTTCCGTCCTCCCACGAATCATCGCCTCCTTCCGCCGCGCATACACCTCTTTCTTCCCCTCTGACTCCCACCCAACCCTCTCCCGGATATCCTCCCCTGCCCATCTTGCCCGCCTCACATCCCTCCTCACCCGCTCAAAAGGCCGCGTAGTCCTAGGTGGGCACGCCGACCCCGCGAATCTCAGAATGGATGTGACCCTCGTAGGAGTAGACGAAACCGACCCCCTAATGAGCGAAGAGATCTTCGGTCCCATCTTACCTATCCTCGAAATTCGCGATTGGGAGGAGGCCGTACAACTAGTAGACACGGTATCAGGGGCTCCCTTGGTTGTGTATCTGTTTTCGGAGGATGCGGTGGTTAAGGAGATAGGTGTGTTTTTCTCTTTTTCTTTTCGCTGTGGTTCGGCTGATGGGTTGGTGTAGTGAGGAACCGCACCCGGAGCGGGAGTCTCGTATGTGGGTGTACGTTCTTGCAGATGGCTGGTAAGACGCTCTTATCCTGCTGTTGGGCTCATTAACCGGATTGCCCTTTGCAGTGTACGAACTCCCCTACGGCGGCATCGGTGAATCCGGGTGTACGTATCCCTTTCCTCCTCTCGCGCTCGAAGGGAGACTGATAACTCATATCCATAGCTGGACGCAGCAACAAATCTGCCATGGAAGAATTCTCCTACATCCGCTCCCAAATCGACGTTCCCACCTCCGAGTCGTGAGCACCGTTCCACCTCATGTTTATTTGTGAAGTGACATATCATATTTCGCAGCATGGAGTCTCATCTAGAGATATTCTATCTGCCCTATTCGGAGGAGGCGACGGAGGCGGTGAAGAAGACGGGCTTGGGGGTATGTCTTCCGAGGAGTTCGGCTGAGGGGGGTATTATCGAGAAGAGTATGAATGGGTGTTTGTTTGGAAGGGTAGGGTGTGGGGCTAGTGTTATTTGTGCGGCCGGAGTCTGTTTAGTCCTTGGTATTCGTATTTTAATCACAATACATAACATGTCCTTGCAATAAATCGTGCTTTGACGCAAGAGGAAGTATAAACATCAGCAACTCAAAGATCGAATTCGTAGCTTAGTACGGGCGGAAAGAATACGAGATCTCAGACTCCAAGCCACCTGAATGGGTGGGAAGAGCGGCACGTAACAGGCGTGAGGTCCTGCCATTGGTTAATTCCTGTCGACTGTCAATGCACAACGAAAACAAAATGAGACGAGTCAGGAACGCGCTGGAACGAATGAAATGAATCTCAGAGGATAGGATATGCGAGGTTTGTCGTTTCATGGAATTATAGTGGACGAAGGTTACAGTAACTGTTCACAGTGCTCGCTCACTCGTTCCTTCCCATCTTGTTCGACATCCTTACCCGGAGGCTAGCGATTCCTCCCAGTCGTACGAAGAAGATTGTTTGTTCTCGGTAAACATCCCAGAACGTGGAACATTTTAACCCACTCGAGGCGCTGAGTGATCGATACAGGAAGTAATCTATGTGGCGATGAACGGTTATCCAGGGTGAAAGTCATCCGTTCTTCCTCTCGGTTGCCGGTCAAAATTGACATCCAGCACATTCAGAACTCGGTGTTACGACGGTGGATGGTTCCGGAACAGAGATCCTCGAGGCACAGTACATTTGTTCTTTTCCTTGTTGTTCTCATGAGAGTGAAACACGACAGCATGCATATCCGCATTAGCTCTAACCGATCCATGGATTTTCTTTCTTTCCAGATATGTCGACTAAACTTGCTCTCGAGTAAACAAACTATCCCTTCCACATCCAAAAGCCCGCTAGGTCTGAATTTTCATTTTAAAGTGCTGATTACTCCGCCCTCCCCCGCACCAATTCGACCCAAAGATCCTGGAAATTCGGTGCTCAAACATACCGCTTTCTTCGTTCTCAAAGCCACCTCAACTGTGCCTTCACGGTGCTAGTTAGAAAGGGCAAGTATTCGCGTCGAGAACTTGAGCCTGATGCTTACGTTAATCCTGGATTTCTTGACCCACCACTACAAACCATCTTGTTCATCAGATGACAGTCACCCGAGTTGTAGAGAACAATGTCCATTACGCTATGGTTCCCTCACTGGATATTGCCATGCATCAAGTGGACCAAAGGGTTACTTAGTCTCGCTCACTCCACGTTCAACATCTTGAGTATATGTAGGTGGAGGAGTAGAAAGGGAGCTAGAAGAAGTCGCATTTGAACTTTGCTGAGGTTGCAATAACTTGATGCCCTGTGTCATGGTGATGGATAGAGACAAAGATGGATTTCGGACTTTCTGCCCGGGATAGATAGTTGGTTGCAAGTACTTAGTCGAGTTAAGAAGTTGCCAGCCGCTGAGTTAACAGAAAATGTATAATTGTGTCTACCAGCCTAGCTTTCGCCACATATCACGATACTCTGGGAACCTCGAACAAAACAACCTCACCCGACGCTCCGTCCCATCCCGGAATTCCTGATCAAACCGTTCCAGCGCAAACTGTTTCCAATACATCGAGTTTTTCTTTTCCTGCATGTTCATACCTTCTAGGACGATCTTCACTAACGATCCTATATCTCCCACATCCGCATCATGCTTGCTCCGAAGTCGCTGCTCTGTCGATTCCATATTGTCCTTCCATCCCTTCAGCTTATGCAACAGCAGAATTGACAGGGGAATGACCGGTAATCCCTGCTTATCCACGATAGCCTCGGAAAATATCATCGGGAGCTGTAACACTCCCGGCTTGAGGATATCAATCTTCGTTTTCTCCAATTTCCCATCCACGCCAAGGTCATGGTACCAAAGGACCTTCCAGGTAGCTCCGGGTGTTTTAGCGTCCGTGAGATAAAATCGATCCGGATTATTAGTGACCAAGAATTCCTTCAACCACTCTGGTTTGCAGGTATGTGATGACATCAGAATGTCAAGGTCCTATATACACCTTTGTCAGGATCCGCAATCAAGAGAGACAAGTACTCACATTTGGTAGACGGTCATTTCCGTACAGATAGCACGCTGTACTCCCTAGGATCGCAAATGTGCATCCCTCCTTTTCAAATATACGGGTGACTTCTCTGGCGGCGCAGAATACGACAGCCCGAGGGTCTCGCGTTGGAATCACTGGAGTAGCAAGTGCGGTACTAGACTGGGATCTGGTGTCCTGTCCGTCGCCTGGACAATCGGCAATCACAGCCAAACCTGAGAAAGCTTGGTGTCCGTCCATAGGAGTGGCTGTTTCGGAGAGGCCAAGTGATGGTGCGTGTGACTGTTAGAAGGAAAGAAGAGCAGACTCCGAGTCCACTTCGGCACCGTGCTGATCTTTGAATTTCAAATGGTGATGTATGTATTCTTTCACTTCTGGTTACGGCTTACTTCAAGAAGCCATTAGGATTAATTCATTCGGCATAGGCGGAAGTGGATCCCCAACACCAATTCGCAAGATAACGAAACGTACTGGTACAAGTGTTCCTCCTCTCTAAGAGGCGACTAAGTATTAGATAAACAAGCGAACCTGCGCATCCTGTAACAATGCATGACTTTCTTTTCCTTGCCCTCAACGCCGAACAGGACCAAATATTCTGGTACGTGGGGTGAAGCATCCGACAATAACATCGTATTCCAAGGTCACTTCAACTAACCGGTAGATGCAGATAGATGCTCAAAGAATTCGAGTCTGTGCCCCTTCAACTCATTGCCCGTGGAGCATCACTGAAAACTCAACCTTGTGGAATAGCGAGGCCGAAAAACAGGTTCGTGTAGTCAACGGGGACCCTTCATTCACGTTAGGAGTAGTGTGAGAAATCAACGCCGTCTTTCGCTCTCGAAAAAAGATGGCTGTCAGTGGACTCGGATGTGGACCACACATCCAAATGCCAATGCAATAATTGAAGACTCGGATTCGGTTAAGGTGCGGAAAGTCATCCAGCAATCTCAGATCTTCTGTCCGCGAAGCAGCATAAAGAATCCCTTTCACTTCCACAAGTATCATATCGACTACAGGAAAATGTCTGAACAGAAAAGGTGCAGCCCCAATGTACCCGTTCGATACTAGGTATGTCATCTGGTACAAAAAATCTGGTATCAGTAAAACAGACGACAAAGACATATGCTCAGCATCTTACGGACTACAGGCATTCTACAGGTCAGACTGGCCCTTGGGGGCTGCCATCTAGTGTTTAGGAATCGCAGTGATTTGTAGTCTTGATGGAAGTGTGACCCTGACATGTGAATGTAACACAGCTGGCCGGTGACTATTTTGGGGTGGTCAAAATGCATGCAAAATGCATGAAAATGGTATAAAGTTTTGGCACCAGATTTTGCCACATGAAAATCAATAGTTTTAACTAAGCAATATGCAACTAAATTATATAATCTTGCTGGTGTTTAATCCCCGGGAAATATAATCATTTTGCAGTAGCTAGAATGAAAGCAATATTATAAATTCACTCGCACTTTGAAAACCTATTGTTTTGCTGTCTGGCAAAATGCAGGATGTGATCCGCATTTTGACTGATCCGGAATGCCTTATTTAGACTTCTGACAAAATTCAGCCTTTTGCTGCCCACCAGTCTAAATAAAGCATTCCGGATCAGTCAAAATGCGGATCACATCCTGCATTTTGCCAGACAGCAAAACAATAGGTTTTCAAAGTGCGAGTGAATTTATAATATTGCTTTCATTCTAGCTACTGCAAAATGATTATATTTCCCGGGGATTAAACACCAGCAAGATTATATAATTTAGTTGCATATTGCTTAGTTAAAACTATTGATTTTCATGTGGCAAAATCTGGTGCCAAAACTTTATACCATTTTCATGCATTTTGCATGCATTTTGACCACCCCAAAATAGTCACCGGCCAGCTGTGTAAGCATGTAGTTACACCCCGACCGAGATGGAATGAAAAGGAAAGAGGATCAGAGATCTTGGTGGAAAAATCGTCTCATCAGGTGAGTATATTCACCCTCTGAAGTAGCAAATATAATATTGCATCATGCGAGAAGAACAAGAAAACAAAGGGTTGCACACTTACCTCAAGGACGGAAGCTGTGGAGTTGCAAGCCAACAAAGATATGAGTCCCAGGCAATCTCTGATATCGGTGCGATCTCTATAGAGGTTAGAGGTCTAAGAATAACATCATAAATGAAACTGGGGGAATGGGAAACAGGCGGGAATAATAATCTCAGTGAGAGAAATCACGGATGCAACAGATCTTCGTGCATCCAGCCCAATGGGGCCATCAAAATGCAAGGGGAATGTGCGGTTCACCAGAGGATGATGTGTGGGGAAGGAGACTCATGGTGGGAGATTACAAGGTGAAAGAGGAACAACAGGACAGGTAAGAGGAGTATGTCCTGAAACTCTCGAGTGCGGGCAATGCACATCTAAAGGCATTGTTCACGACTCAGTCCACATCCAAGCTAATCGAACATTGGGTTAGCTGGTGGTGGCTTTTGAAAACGAGCATATGGAGCACACCTCAGTAGCATTTCACACTGCATTTATGTCCCAGCATTCCCCAGCGATGGTGAGACTTGGTGTGAGATATGATGGAGAAGAAGTAGGTCTGAGTTTGTAGCAACCTGGGTAGCACATATCTTCAGGCATGGAGTCATCCTGCACGCCAACCCTCTCAACAAGGACTAACTGTTGCTGCCTACTCGCGTGCACGGGACGAGGTGTGGGACTTCTGAGAAAACAAGGTTCGATTAGGGCAAGGTTTTCAGGGTGGGTAATTACGGGCACTTACAGTAAACGGAGTCCATGTTCACTAGCATCCATTCCAGAGGTGCTCCGAGTTGAAGGGTCTAACCCTGAACATGAACATCAGACCATTTTCATCGAGGAAGGACTATGTCATGAATTCCAACAAGATCTAAATAAAGGACACATACTGGGGTACAGGTCGGTCTTGTGCTCTAGCGGATGGGTGGAGGTATGCATTTGAGGAACGTAGGAGGAAGAAAGAGAAAGCATTGAAAATTTCAAACAAGAGCAATCAAGCAGACACGTGACTGGTGGGTTGTTTAATTCAGCAGTTCGGACCGGAAAGCTGATATCTTCCTGGCGAGGGAGCCTCTCACCTCATCTTCCATCAAGAGAAAGGTACATAATTTTTTTTATTCACCCAGACCATCATAGCACACATCCTATCAGTATATAGCAGACTAGGTCAGGCTCTTGGTGTTTTATGCATTATGATTAGGGTGGGGTCCAATCATCGATGTTAGGACTCGGCTTCTCAGTTCTCTGGGGTGAGAAAGTAAGTGAGTTGTCTTCCTCATTGATATCCTTGCGTTCTGCTTTGGTCAATTATCAAAGCCTCAATATGTACCCACGCCAACCTAGCCAGGTACCAAGGTCCTGCCAGGGTTCTGCAGATGGATTCAGAGGCATGCTCAGTTTCATGGGAAGCAGGGAAGAAGAAAACAGGTGACATACTTGTGCATATGCTTGGAGACGATGCATGCAATTGATGATTGACATGATAGAAAGGTGTGGGTGCATATTTGTTTGTAACATATGCACTTCTGACATTCAAGAACGCATTGAGATCCTCATGCATCTTTGATGGGTTTTTCAAGTCAGGCTGGCAGTTTGGCGAAGAGAGTTGGTAGGAAATGCTTCGGCGGGTATATGTGTTCAATCAGTGAAAACTAGTTATTGGGTATACTGGCCAATTTGACTATAACTTCTTTTCCAATTGCTGCCACCTTATTGTAGCTCAACATTTCTGTCGTCTTTCTCTTTTTGTGCTATGGCATATATGGCCGGCTCAATTATCTCACATTGGAATTCTGCAGTCGGGCTCATGTCAGAGATTCTTGACTTAAACACACTCGCCATAAGGAATCACTATGACGATAATCATACAAAGGCAAAATGTCACAATGGATATTTGTAGGTTGCAACACAGTCAGATAAGGATGATACATACAAAGCAGAGTGGATCAGCAACTGTCATCATTGATAAACCAGATGCCCCATGCACGACTGACGAACCACTAAAGCCCAAGCCTCAGCATCAATAAACCTGGCATACGAGAATCACTTACCAATTCACAAATATCTGGATGATCGAAATGATGCCCATCATAATCTACCGGAGTCGTAGAGCACATCTCCCACCAATTATCCCATGGGATTTTGTGGTTTCCCATACGAGCCTCAATACGCTTTGAAAACATCAGAATGATTTACATGTATAAACACAGTGGACGCACGTGGTATCCTTTGGATACACATCCCTAAGACACCATCATGATCATAAGCCAAGCCCAAGATTACGAGGTAAAACAAACAAGGAGAGATGCACTTCATCCCTGAAATCCTCCCACAGCATCTTGCAACTTGTTTCATCTGACTCAACTATCCAATGGCCGTAAACCCTGACAGTACCCTACAGCCAGATCAGCAAACTTGATATCCTGGAGATGATGACGATCTCACCGATTTATCCATGTCAATAGTACAATATGTCAGCATCTTGAACTCTATTCCGTGAATGGTGATCTCCTTCTCCTCACACCACTGCCTCATTTCTCCACTGATTGGTATGCCAACCAGCTCGGCTTTGTATTCCTGAGTGTTGTATCAGAGACATTCGCTTGATGGACCAAGATTGGACCATATGAGGCCATCGCGTATGAGTTGACATTTGTTCTTTCCGTAGAGGCCATCGAGGATGTACAGATAGTAAATATGACTATGGTCTGCAGGGTTCCCCTTCAGATTCATCAGATCTTATAGGATAAAGGAGCTCCGGGACACACTGAGAAGCTGATTGATAGGTACTAAGCTGGCCAGAGTTCAGACATTGTCCAGCATGGAAGCAGGTAGTCACTTATGAAGTGATCTCCTGTGGAGTAATGAAGTCAGTGATGTTTCCTGTGAATACGAACAAGACAATGAGATGAATGTTGCATAAGATGAAAGAACAGTAACTGACTGTAATGCAAAGGGCTAGTCTCGTCCACTCCACATTCAACACCTTGAATATATGGAGGCCGAAGAGTAGAAAGGGAGCTAGAAGAAGTCGTGCCTGAGCTTTGCTGTGGTTGCAATGACTTGACACCGTCTGTCATGGTGATGGATGGAGACAAAGAGGATTTCGGACTTTCAGCCCTGGATAGTCAGTTTGTAAAGGATCTGCCATGTGATGGGTCTTCAACCCAGAAATGAGTATGAGTCGGGCATATATTGCCAGAGAAAGCTAGGTCAAAGACACTAAGGCATGGTAGAAACTAAAGGTTAAGGAAGGAAAAGAGCCAAAAACAGTGCATACATAGCAGTCCGAAGGCATAGGTAAACAGAAAGAAAGAAATGACATAGCTAACTGGTCCATAAAGAATCTGTATCCCTTACATGGCTATGGGTATCAAGTTGAGTCAAGTTGCTGGCTGCTGAGATATGTTGGATATTAAGCTGGTGGCTCATGTGTTTATTTGTAATCAGTCATGTGTACATACCAGTAAATTTTCATAGCTATGCTTTTCTCTTCTTTACTCGATTGACTACATACTTGCTGCTCATGTACTGCATCAATCCCGTATTCGTGTCCTGATCCCTCATGTGCTTCCATACCTGCTAGGATTATTTCAACAAGATACATAACAGAAAATATGGATTTGTGTCTACCAGCCTAGCTTTCACCACATATCACAATACTCTGGAAATCTCGAACAAAACAGCCTCACCCGATGCTTGGTCCCATCCCAAAATTCTTCATTGAACCATTCCAGTGCAAACCGCTTCCAATACATCGATTTTTTCCTTTCCTGCATACTCATTCCCTCCAGGACAATCCTCAACAATGAGCCTATATCTCCCACATCTGCATCATGCTTACTCCAAAGATGATGCTCCATCGACTCCATGTTATCTTTCCACCCCCTGAGTTTATGCAGGAGTAGGATGGAGATGGGAACAATTGTAGTCCCTGATTATTGATGATAGCCTTCGAGCATATCATCAGGAGCTGCAAAATTCCCAGTTTAAGGATATCAACTTTGATTTTTTCCAGTTTCCTATTGAGGGATTTCAGTCGACTTGCAGAGATAATGGTAACTTGTTATCAGGTGAATTTTTGCACGCTATTACACCCATAGCATTTCATGATGAGGGCAAGTCTGAAGCCAGGGTTATTAAGGAGGACTCACGTTCTAACTGCTCCAGGACAAGAAATTTGATCTTCCCTACTCATATCCATGTGTTAACAGCCTCACTATTCATTGAAGGTGAAACTGTATCTGTGCTGACTTGTAACGATCGTAGGTATCTCAACCTCATGCAAATCACCTCGTCCATCCTCCATTGTACCACTAGAATGTGTTTTCATAACTCCCAGGAGATATTCTATGTCCATAAACTAGGATTGGACCTTCGTTTATTCTAACCATGCTGACTTAGTCATCTAAAGTCATTTAAATGCTGATTTTCTCTTAACAATGACAGAAAATGGGTACAAAAGATTGATGTGATGATTCCTAACAGCAATCCTCTACAAATCTATAGCATATAAGGTGCTGCTATCAGCGTCTGACTTCAATAGTCCGCTGCAGTAGGATGAAGTGCATACTATAGAAGCTGAATAACATAGCATATGTTACTGTATCAAATAAGAAAGGACATCCCAATGCCTCGGAGATCAATACAGTCAGCACCATCACTGCATTGGTTGACATTAACGATACAGATTCCTGAAAGCGTGCTGTTATTTCTACACATGCTGTCTGAGTCTGTGGGTACCTTCCTTCCCCAGTTCCCATGTAAGAAAGAAGGCACAAATGCTGAAGTCTACATGAACGACATGATAGGACTGTTAAACCAGGAGTATATCAGATGTATGTATGATAGGCACATGCACTGCTACTAAATTAAACTAAACAACATGGTTTCATCTTGCGACCATCAGGCTGCGATTCATCAATAAATGATTGTTAGAAATTTTATCCAAGTAGGCGCTGTTTGGGCACTTAACCACTCTTTCCTTCCTTCACCCACCAGCTTGGTAGCGATGTTCAGGAATAGGCTAGGGTTGAGCGAAAAACCTCCAGGGGGTTGGCGGTCGGTATTTTACCTATGTGAGCCTTGGAGGGGGTTTTTTACATGGTATTTTACATAGTAAAATACCTTGTCATGTGATTATATAATATATAATATTTTCCAGTTTTCCTACGATTTCTTCGTTTTTCCAAATGCGGTCGGAGTCTCCTAAGAATTCAAGATGCCATGTCATTGTCTCCCTTGGTGCTTCAGTGACCTATGAAAAGTCTTTGAATAATTATCCTTGAGTCTACATAGACCTACAGCCTACTGCAGCTGCTTTGTGGGTGAAAATACTTGCATGTGATCTCTGTATTTTACCTAGCTGAAACCCCCCTCAGGACCCCCTGGTAAAATACATCGTAAAATACTATGTAATTTACTGTAAAAAACCATTTTGGTAAATAACCTACCCTTTTTCCCTCAGCCCTAGAATAGGCAACAAAGAATTTTCCGTGGTTCCAGAAAAGTCACAGCCTCAATTCAAATCGCAGATACTATCAAATCAGTCGGCAGGGGATATGTTGAGTCATCGTTCTGTGGCTTATGTGTGGCATGTATTTTCATATCCAGGTCACATGGACTCTGATCCTCGCCATCACAATCTTGATGCAGAGAAGTTCAGCACCATGCAAGGTCTGAAGGAAGCTTATCGGGACAGACGTATCAGTGCATAGAATAATCATGTATCAGATGTACGAATATCACAGTCTGCAGCACATAGTAAATTTTTTTTGCTGAACCCGGACCGAACCTGGACTGAACCTTTTGGACCTGCACCTCAGGTTCAGGTTCGAGGTTCAAGGGGGCAGCAGGTGAACCTCGAGGTCGAGGTTCGAGGTTCAGGCAAATATGCCTGAACCTGAACTGAACCGGACCATGGCCAGACTAGGCGCCCACATAACTCTCATCCTGGACTGCAGCTTTCAAGTGTTCACCGCCACCAGAAAACCACCAAATGGAGATATGCGCACCACCCATTCGCTGGGACACGATTCCTTTGTCAGAATGTTCAACACCGCGGAAGAGCGCATGGGAGACTGGCGTGGATATCGTGATGTGTGGGCGAAAAATTGGGCTCCTGACATGAGCTTCACATTGTTGTAGCCACCTGTAGGGATTTTCAACATGCCACAGAGCAGCAATACCCGAATGGTTATGGCGGGGTCTTCACTCAGACACTTGTGGACGCACTAAAATCAGGATCCTTGAACAAGGACGCAAAATATATCGACATTATCCATAAGCTACCAAGGCCAAGTACCCAGATGCCAGTAGTTGCAGGGAAACGAATGAAGGAACGTCTTTGGTTTTAGCCGTTCCCTATACCTATTCATTCCAGTGGCCCTAAGGATCGGTTTCACGAAAGAGATGTTAAACTTTGGATATATTTCCTTTTATGACACGATTTCGGGTACTTTGGGATATACGACCACTTAGCTCCGGATATTTCAGTAGAAGTATGTACTTAGTGTAGAGGGTAAAGCAGAATCATCCTTATCAGTCTAATTCGTAACCAACTTGGCAATACTCTAGTCCCTTACAATCCTACCGTCACCGGGGAATCGCACCACGAGGAATGTGACCACGCTGGAACCTCGTTCCATATAACCAGTATCCCACCAGTCCGTTCCTTACACGTCCCCTTCGAACCTGACCAGCTCTACTACTCGTCCTCCAAGAAATCGCGCCTCTTCCAGAGCCAATTCTCCCCCTTGTTCGTCCCTTGTTCATCCTAGCTTGTCGTCCTGCTCAATTTGTTCTTCTCCCCGAGCCCATTCTAGACTGTCAGTATTCCAGGACCTGTTCGTCATCTATCACCGGCGTTAGATACAATGACTGAAATAAACGAACCTACGTGCGTTGTATCCAATATCTGAATTCCGTTTCCTTTCTACTGGCTTACCAAGTTACATGAAGAGGTGTAACCAAACATGGTCGACGCGGACCCACGCCGTCACTCAAAGAGAAGTCGACGCCATGGTGAAGCGCACAGCAAGATACAGAGGTAAGTTATCGGATATCCAACAAGAGAAGATGCACAAGAGTCCAGACCAATTAACGGCCAAGTAGTGCGAAGACATTGTTCTTCCAAGGACAATTAAAAATCATAAACGAGAAATTGTAGTGATTACAGGAATAATTCACTGATCTGCTAAGATTCTAGGCATACTGTCTCATACATGGGATGAAGTAATCTCGTATCAGTAAGATCTAAGTACGTCACCAGGACACTCCACCGCTCCATGAAGTTGACGAATATCCTTATTCAAGTTATAAGCAGAACCTCCACTAGTAGTTCCGCCTGCTTGATCTGCTGGTCAGAGGCCTACCTGAGCCCGGTCCTCCACAGACGTAGTGCACATTCTCGCAGGTAGTGTGAACGTGTACCTCATCGACCACCGGCATGACTAGATATAACGACATAACTGAACTGACGTACCCTTCCTTGTATGTATGAACCTTACCAGTGCATGGATTCTGTTTCCTTACCCCTGTATCCTCCCCCTTCCCCAGTCTTTGGATTTCTCATCACCAAATAAACTCCAAGCCACGATTTCTTGAAGGGCGGGAACCGAAATCGAAGAGCAGCCCTAAAAATCAAAAGTCTAGTCGCACCAAAAGTTCTCACAGGTGACAGATCCGGATTTCTCTCCTACCTCCGCACTTCAAATACGGTATTTCAATACAGAGCAAGCGGAAAATATGTGTTTGTGTCCGTTAGCCAAGCATGTCGTGATCATCCAGTCCTATCAGACACTCGGAATTTCTCCTCAACCTATTCTAATGCAATACTTAGAGTTTAGCTTTCCCTGCGTACTCATCCCCTTCAACAGCAAACCCATCCTGCTCCGAAGACAAAGACAA